CTTCTTTGATATTCTGCCTCACAGCAGCAATATAGTCTTCGGTGCGCACTATCCACAAACAGTAAACGTGGTGTAAAAGTTTTACAATCGTGAATCGTGAAGTTATGGTTCAATGCATGGCAGCTCTAAGCTAATAATGGTCGAAGTCGGACCTTAACTTTTCGAGTCCCTAGATACCAAATATGAGAAATGCCTATGGTTAACTTAATTTCGAAGATATCAGTCAATCTGTAGGATACTTAATAAAACTAAATTGTCTTTTGGATATAGGTATATTTGGTTCAAAATTAATATCTATGTACATATTTAAGGCATCTTCTTACATAGAATTTAGTTTGGTGACGAAAATATGTGGAATTCGACTATGGACAGCTCCTTCCCCTATATATCTGTTATAACACTGTACAATACTTAAACCCACTTTTTTCGAGTGATAAGTAAAAAAGTTATTTCTCTGAAGTTGGCCCCCAAAATCGAAATATTTGAGATCAAAGTTCGAAATTGAAATTATTGAAAAAATGTTTTAATTACTTAAAAATTATAAATATTAAAGAAATATATATTTTCCAATTATTTGAATGGAGGAGTGACATTTTTCGGTCAAGCTTATTTGAGGGTGTTATAAGAGGTCAAAGTTGGATTTTCGAAAATACTAAAAATTTATTTGCCGGAAATTATTTGCCTGATTTATGAAAAAATTGGTATCTTCTTTTCTGCTGATATGCGTTTTTATATACTCGTACTCTCCATACAAACTTTGAGAAAAAATTAACTAAAATTTTTGAAGGAAACGGCAGAGCCCTTTAAACAAAGTATATAAATCATCAGCGTGATGAGCTCAGTCGATTTAGCCATGTCCGTCCGTCTGTCTTTATATACGCGAAGTAGTCCCGCAATTTTTGAAATAACGATCTTTTGCACAGCTCTTTTTCTCTCCAAGAAACTGCTCATTTGTTGGAACCGCGAATATCGGACCATTATAGGATATAGCTGACACATAAACTAACCGATAGAACTCAAAGCCATGTATGGAAAACTTTTTTTAATTGACGAGGTATCTTCGCGACAATTGGCATGGATTTTTGCCAAAGGCATCACTATAGACAAGTTAAAAGTCTTTTTATACCTTTTTATGCTGTAAAAATACACCTGTAAAAGGTATTATATCTTAAGTAAATCAACGTTTTTTTATTTTTATTTTTTATAAAATTTACTTTGTTTCATTGTTTTTACCATCTTCGCATTCAATGGCCTGTTCGTCATATTTCTGCAATCATGGCATTTTATTTCTTCCCATTGGAATCGCAATTTGTGGACCAGGTGAAAATAAAAGTTATCGCTTGACTTAGTTTATCTTACTTCATATTAATGCCTTGATATTAATTTGCATTTCATGCGAGAACTACAAGGAGTTAATAGATAAAATAATAACATTAAATAAATGTAGAAGAAAATAATTAACACAATTAATAAGCGAAAATGTAAATTTAATTAATTATTACAAAAACACGTGTGTGCAACATTGTACATCTAGAAGATGGCGTCTTGTTGCACACTTTATATGCCAACCAGGCAGCCGGCGTTGCAAATAAACACGCCATCACGGCAATTAGAAGCTTGCTGTATATACGCGAAACGCCCAGCAACAATATTACGCTGACAACTGCAACACCCAAGCGGTCGTAATGAGTAGCGGTGGCAACAAACGAAAAACGCGCTTTGGCAGTGGGAGTTGCTGACGGACAGGTAGAGCAGCACCAACAGCAAACAAAACCAACGCTGACAACAGCCGCACAATCAGCCAGCAGCATCTCTCAGTTGAGTAGCCGTTGTGGAAACTGCCAATGCGTGCCACTTGCTGCCACATCTATTGCCAACGCGTCGCCGCCGCGCACTCGTCGCATTCATCAGCATGTAATTAAAGCGATATTAGCATAAAATGTTGATGGAAGTGGGCGTGTATGAGAGACACAGCGCCTTCACATATGTATATGTGTGAGTGTATTGCCCGCCAGCGCGCAACAAGTGGTAGCGGCAAGTCGCTGAGCGGCTGCCGATAACATCGCACACGTTTCCTGATGAGCGCTGCATGCTGTTGCTGCACGCATGCGGATGTACATAGATATGTGTTTGTGTGTGTATATATTTTATATATATATAAGCAATTATGGAGATCTTCCTACCTGTTGCATGCCTGCCATTCACATGCTGTTCGATATACTTTTTATTGCCACAATCCAATTGTGATTAGCCTCAGCACTATATACATATGTATATATATATATATATACAAATACAGGTAAAAAATTTGTTTGTGTGCGTGCAAGCATTTCGTTTATTTCATTTTGACAGTCTCATTTATTATGTTAACACTCGGCGCTCGAGTGGCAAGCACGCCAGAGTCAGTGACTGTATGCGCCACAAACGCTGCAGCACTTACATTGGCTCATTAAAACGACACCACCTCTACAATAATAACAAATATGTTAATATATTTTATTTTATTTTTTATTTTATTATTTTATTGTCCCTTACTCCCTTCCACCTTTCGCTCTGCGCTCACTTCAATTAACTGTCAACACTGATTAAAAGCCCATTTGCATTAATTAGAGTAAGAAATTTAAATGCATTCGATTTTTATGCGTTTTATTCACAACGAAAATTTCCAAAATTCGTGGATGTGAAGCCACTTTTTTGTTGTCATCGCAATGTCACATAATTTCTCATAAATTTTAATTTAAATTAGTGGCAATTTCGTCACATTTTATGTTGTACAGCCGATTATCATTAGACAACGACTTCAAACTCAAATGCTTAGAGAACAAACACAACAACAACAGCGCCCTTTATCTTCGATTGTGTAGCTTTTTTTCAGCATTCCTCTGATCGTTGGCGTTAAGGTAAAATCTAACTGTTAATCATTGTACTCATTTAAATCGCGCTTGAAGCGTCTGTGTGTCTGTCTGTTTGCTTGTTTAATGAAGCTTCTGGGTGGAAATTAAACAGCAGCTATAATATCTTTAACTTCCCAACACGTGTATCAAATTGTGCCCAAGGGGCATTCTAGCTACAAATTTCTCTGAATAATTTTATAAAGCTAATGTTTACCTGCCAATGGCATAAACAAAAGACTTTCGGCACAAACTTAATGAAGAAACATAGCCACATACAGAAGAAATTAGGCCACACTTAGCTCCAATAAACTCGATTCTTTAGCGCAGAGTTTAGTAAAATGAACTCTATGTGTTGGTCAGCAGAAATATGTTGTTGTTGTACTCGTAAAACATGCCGCCAAACACATTGATGAATGGTGTTGAGTTGACATTCCTTGGCCGAACAAAAATCCGGGTCAGATCTGATTACGTAGACCCGACTGTCATTGGAACTGGGGTTAATAGAAAGTAACTCTAAAGCACAGCGGCAAAGAAGTTGTAAAGAAATGGCGTAGCAATAGATTTTCAGAGCATACTATAATTACGAAAGAGACATTTACTCTTTAGAAACAGTTGCAAGTCGGTACTTAAAGTTTTCATGGAACCACTACAGTAAGTTAGGTTTAATGATACTATGAAGTCAACAATAAGTTGCTGTTGCCCCTTTAACAAGTACGGAAGCGCTAGTTCGGGTGTAACCGAACATTTCATACTCTTGCAACTTGCAAGGATCAAAGCCTGCTAAACAACTTCAGATGTTGACAAAACTTCATATCAAACTAGGAAAAGTATCGCCAAGATCTCATCCATTTAAGGCATGAGGATGTATTGTTACTAGAAAGAGATTATTTCTAAATTACTGTACTATTTCTTACATATTGACCGATAGATGCGGTATAAAATGAATCGGAATTTCGAAAATACAAACATTGTTAGGTATTTGGGGGCTAAGGGTTGTGTTGGCCCGATTTTACCCATTTGTGGCACAAATTTTAGATTTCGATAATATGCTGAAATACCATAAAGCTACTATTTCTACAAAGTTTGATTCTGATATTTTCATTGATTTCTGATTTGTATAATGTAAAGTGAAAGAATCAATTGTCATCCGATTTCGCCCATTTTCACAGGGTACAATAGGAATGCTTTGATAACCTCACACTTCGAAGTTGTTTGAAATCGGTGATGACGGACGGTGTTACGCCCATAGTTTTTTTACAAATACAGCTATAAAGTATTTCCTTACCATCATGGTTGAGAAATCTAATGCTTATGACGCATTCTTACAGCGAGTTATCGCACTTTTAATGGTTTTCAACATAACCATTATATGATAAGTGAGCCTGGTTATTATCTCATTTTACCCATTTTTACAGTGTATGAAGAAATTCCAAAAGGACTTCTTCTCAGTAAGTTTGGTTGAGTTAGCTTTAGTGGTTTTTATACATTTAAACATATAGGGGGCAGGGTCACGCCCACTTTTCAACTTGTCTCCTCACCCCGATTATTTATATATACATAACTCCATACCAATCTCGATTATTTTGTGGTAATACAAACAACCGTTAGGTGAACAAAACTATTATACTATATGCAACATGTTGCAAAAGTATAAAAATCTGCTTATCAAATATCTTTGAATAAATTTCAGTTTACTTTTTTTTTTTTTTTTGTAAGCAAGCAAACGCAATATGTCATCGATTTACGTTGAACTCAAACCTATTTAAAATAAGAGAATTTCGCTGCAAGAAAACACTTGTCAAGTAGCACGAGAATCGCCCAACAAATTCAGGTAGTTCATGAAGATTCACGCAGTTACACACATATACACATAAATGTCAATGATTGCATTGCGTCCGATAACCGTGCGCAGTAATTTATGTCGGTAATCGTAGGCGTTGACAGTTTGTGTGGCGTTCACAGAGCGAAGCATAAAAACAGCCAGTCTAAAGTAAACAAAAAAAAATAATATATAAAGTATTAAAATGTTGTCCTCGCCGCTCGCTAGTTCCCAACCTATTGCATCTTATCAACAAAGTCCTTTTTCATTTCTTGTCAAATTAACAGACAACCGAAAGATAAATCGCTACATGTGCTGGTGAGCGCTGAGCGCAGGTCATTTGCGAGCGGGTTCGTTGGAGCGGCGCATACGTAGATGCGTGGGAAAGAATGCCACATAGCGGACAACTGAAGAAAGAAAACGGCGAGTTAAAGGATTGTGAGCAATAAAAGGTAAATAAAAGTAAATTCAATAACTGTATACAATGTTACATTGCTTTGTGGATCAACATATTACTTGCGTACATATTTATAGTATATCTGTGGTTGTGAAAATGTTACGTTTGTATGCGTATACAATTTTTTACGAAGAGCAGAATTGGTGCATGAAATATTCAAACTAAACACAGAAGATACGCAAAATATATCAAGTCAAATGCTGAGGCTACATGCATATCCGAGTACTCGAATATTTATACGGATATGAATAACATCTGAATAGTGCGAGACTGGAGTCAACATTAGTCGAAGCGGATTTACAAAAATCCATTAACTATTGTCGTGCCTAATATTCAAAGTTCCTTAAGGATTTTTTTATATAATTATGCATATTTTACAATATTTGGTTTATCCAGAAATCAGAATAATTGAAAAATTCGCTTAAATTTCTCCGAAGGTAGATATGTCGTAGAATAAAGCAAATTTACACATTTTAATATTTTTGATTCTGGCTCAAAATGCTTCTTTGCTTGGAATGGTTAATAAGGTGGAAATCGTAGTACGCTACTTAACAAAATATCCTTCAGGTTCACCCAATTTTACCCTTGACAAGATCTGTTAATAGAGTTGTATACCTTATATACTTACACAATTGTCCTCTACAAAATATATAAATAACAACACTGCTGTATAATGTCAGATCAAATATTTAGCAGCGCTGCCATTGAGCTTGATATTGTTTAGCATCTCAGTTTATATCAGGTACTAGGTTAGCCTGATTAAACAGTTGACTAAAGGACTGTTAGCGTGACAGACACATTGCAAAGGAAATAATAATATTCTCTAGTAGAGCGCATATTGGATACTGAACTCATATAGGGAATGTTGAGCTCAAATGTATACAGTTTAATAATAAGATATCAGGGTAGTTAACATATTGCAGCCGACTAAATCGCACTTTTGGTCAATAATAGAAATGAATTACATATTTAAGCTTTTCCTATTTTTTTTCATATATGTATTCGACTATTTTCGAATATAATCCAAAAATTTTAAGTTAATCCCGGAAGTTTCGGAGATATGAGCGTATTTGTGAAATTTTTTAAACTTAGCGAAATCGGCTACCAAATCGCTTTTTTCTCGAAACGAGAAAAACGCGCTTGGGAAAATTTCTACGAAACGGCTGAACCTTATGGCTTGAAATTGTCACACAACCTTATTTGATAGATTTCGGGTAGTGATCGAATAATTTCGATTTTTTAAGCCACAAAAAGAACTTTTTTTGGGGAAGCTACCATTTTGTCAAAAATCAAAATTTTGACTTGTCTTTCATTTATAACCATACTATTTTTTTTTTTGGGTTTGTGATTTCCGATAATTTTAAGCAAAAGTGGTTTGTTCAACACCTGACTCCTTTTTTCGAAAGCCCTCCTGGAAATTGGCTGCTAGAGAGAGAGAGAGAGAGAGAGAGGGGAAACCTAAATTTTTAAAAATTAATCTCCGTTTATTAAAGTAAATAAAAATTTGTTACAAATAATTATGTTTTGTACATTTATTTATTTATTAAAAAAACTCTTTTACTCTTCAAAAAAAAAGTTCACAAAAACGCGCCTTTGTTCTAACTTGCAAGTGAATATAATTTCTTAATAGCGTTCAGTAGTTTCTAGAATTTATAATATCTGTAACGATAAATCGCTGCAAAGATTATTATCTCTATATAACAGTTGCAGAAGTTAGATGGCGCGCTACCGCTTCGTAGCTCCTGGGCTTTCTTCGAATAACTTCAAATAGAGAGTTTCATAACTTTCTAACGCTCAGAAAGACATTTTGGTCATGTAAAATAATCACATTTCCTACTTCAACATCAAAACTAAATTTTAAAATTTCTGTTTTTCTTTTTTTTAAATTCATATCTCTGTGACTAAATGCAATATAATATTTTTCACTCGCCATATTTCCTACACTATTTTCATCACACACGTGCAACATCAGACAAATCTTAATCGCACTTTTACTTCCAGCCGCGCCATTAGCCAACAAGCTGGATATAATCAGCATTTTGCTTTCACACACTGGCGCAGCAAATGTACCCACCTGCTTGCTGCCTGCCTGCCTGCCACATTGGCGAGATTAGCCAACAGCGGCCACACCAGCGTGCCACAGATAAAGGTGATAAAGCACATAAACCGTGGCATACAATGCATATTAATCCAATTTGCAACGTTAATGTGCGAGCGCAGCCGCTTGTCGCTTGCCACCGCACCGCCGCCTGGCCGCTACTGCTGGCAACACCGGCTGTGCTTCCGTTCCGCAATAATTCGCCACTTGCAGTCATGCGGCGAGCAATGTGTGGCGTGTAATTGTTGCACAATCAGCTACAAAACTGTAACAGCGTCTTGTGGTGGCGACACAGTGGCAAGTTGGCGTATACAAGTATTTACGGTTGTGTATGTGCGCGCTTGTTGTTAGTTAAGCGCAACAGTTATGTTTTGATGGAAGCAGAAGGCAATGAAAAAAGCGATCAGCGCTGCAACAAATAGTGCGCTTTTGAATTTCCGATTAACTTTTCAGTTGAACTCGACACTGATTGGCGTGTAGGCACGTCGCTGGTGGTGTATTGGCTGCTTGTTGCTTGCAACCTGCTGTTGTTGTTATATGTGATTTTATTATGCGCACAATTGTTTTTTTTTTTTCAAGTATAACTTTTCGCTTGTTGTTATTGCAACTGCAACATTGTTTCTGTTATGTGCGCTAATGACAGCAACAATGTTGCAAACAGCCCACCATTCGGATACGGCGCATAATTCACGTGTTGAGGCGTAGCAAATTGAGCGACAAAAGTTCAGCGTTGCCAAGAATTTCTGGTGGCAGTGCCTACCAGCCAGTTGCGCATGTGCGCTGTGAAGACTCTTGACTATTGATTGTTTCTGCGGCGCGTTGCAAGTTGCATAAGTGGCAATTTGCAGCTCGGTGGCAATGAATTTTCGCTTTTGGTTAATCAGATTGGCTAACATATGCATAATTCCGGAAAATATGTTGAAATTCAACGCTATAAAGTCACGCATGTGCATTGCGTACACAATAAATATATGTACATGTGTTGATTTTGATGCATTATTTTCAGTTTCCACAGCATAGCTAGTAAAGTCTGCACATAATTAGACAGCTGCTCATACCGCGCTCTCTCCCCACTCTTTCTACTCTTCGTACAGCCAACGCAATGACAGCGCCCGCTTTATTACCTCAATGCGCTGCATTTTGTGTGTTGTCTGTGCTTGAGTCTGCGCTTCACATACTCGAGCGGCGCCTGGCCGCATTGCTGCCACCAAATTGTCCATGACACCAGAGGTGTCGAACGTTAATGGCGTAACACCTGCGCGCACTACGCTTCTGCCGTTGATTACGCATGCGCCGAGTCGACGCCGCCAACTCCACTTGCCTATTACTCACTTCAAAAGCTTTAGCTTAAGTTAAAATATCGCAGAATATTGCAGTTATAACCATGAATATGCCACCGCCGCCACCGTATAATCTAGTGTGACGTATGCTTTGTTGGTTGAATATTAGCGTTCACTTACCGTGTGATTGGCTGGCTTATTGCATGACTACCAGGTTGCGAAATTCTTACGCGGCTTCCTGTGTTGGCACTCGAAAACGGCTACTCAAAGTCGAAAATGAATCATGTGATGAGAACTAATGAAAAATATAAGTTGAGTCATTTGGTTTACTACTGGAAAATTACCTTAGTTCAAGACGTAAATATAGAACTACTTTATTGCTAGATGCCGATACGAAATAACTGAATTATTTACAGGAACTCTACAGTTCGACGTTACCCTTTTTAAGCATCTCGAAAATTTTCGCGTCATTGTCAATAACTTATTACAAGGCCAACTTCGCCGCTATCTAATAAATATATCCGCTTTCATAACTCGGCATTTATGCCAGCTCTGCTGCTTCCTCCCTAGATTAGTGGCAAAGCTAATAGCATCAAATAAAGTACATACTATAATAGGCGTAAATTCGACTCCTTGCGGTAACGTAGACTGGAGACCCATGGAACAATTTGAACTGTTCATAAGTATATAATTACACATTTGAAATTCGAAACAAAACTGCAAATGAAGAAAAGAATTTCTCGTCTCAACTTTTTTATAATTCGCATCTAAAATTTCGCCCTTTCGGTTGAGGAACCAAAATTACACTTTTTGTTGGTTGTTGAAAAAAACAAAAGAAGTTGAACATGGTTGAAATTAAAACAGTCAATGGTTGAAAATATTTCCGAAGTTTTTTTTTGTCACGAACACACGTATTTAAGTGACGCAAAGTATTGAGTAAAAGTCGTGAAGTCATCAAAAACTTGCCTCTGGCGTGCCGTCCATTCTATTAATGGCGATAACATCGAAAAAATTATTTAAAAAAAGTGCTTGAAAAACGTTGTGTTAGCATAAGACAGATAATATAGAAACATTTGTTGTTGTTGTAGCGGCAGAAAACATTCCTGAAGCAATTAGTCGGGGTATGTGGCCGAGTTGACCATCCTTGCCAGATAAAAATTCGCGTTCGTTTCAGTTACTTAGACCTGACTGTCATGGGAGCGGGATCTAAAAATCTCTTAAAGATCGACTCGATCATTTCGGTTAAAGTTTTGGGTATGAAGCGTGTCAATGCTACGCTCATACTAAAAGACCTGAATCTTTTGCAAAATCGACGTCGAGTAGAGGTCGGAAAAGAGATGCTTGACAACGTAGTTTAAGACTCTTAATTGATCAAACACATCATAATTGTTGAGATGTAGGGTTATGAATATGACTTCGAAACTGTCCAACAATCTAGAGTATGGCGCTTCAAAAAAGAGCCGAAACTGGAAAAACCGAAATTCGCTAATCGCAGCGAAGGCCATCCCAGCCGAGGCGTATATCAAGTGTATGGGGAATTGGATTAAGCGTTGGCAAGCTTATTTTGGCTCGAAAGGAGCCTCGAAAGGCGATAATAATAAAATGAAAAGATCTCCT